CCTTTATGTGAGGTACCTATAGTAGTCAAAATCATAGAGACAGAAGTAGGATGGTGGTTGCCAGGGGTTGGGGGAAGGACAGAAAGGGGACTTACTGCTTAATGAATATACAGTTTCAGTTTTGCAAGATGAAGGGAATTTTGGAGGTGGATGTTAGTAATGGCTGCACAACAATGTGAACATGCTTACTATCATTGAACTGTACACTTAGAAACACGAGGGGCACCTGGGCGCCTCAGTGGGCTGAGCCTCTGACTCTTGATTTCCGCTCAGGTCATGATCTTGGGATTGTGAGATTGAGCCCTGCAGCGGGCTCCCTTCTCAGCGCAGATTCTGTTTCTCTCTCCCTCCTTCTCCCCCCTTTCCCCCACCTGCCACTCATGCTCTCTCCCTCATATAAATAAATAAATCTTAAAAAGAAATAGCTGACATGATAAATTTTCTGTTATGTGTATTTTGCCAAGGTAAAAAGAATTTTTTTTAAAGGTAAGACTTTTATGGACAAACAAAACCAGATAGTTTACCACTACTAGACTTACTCTAGAAGAAATGTTGGAACATGTTCTTTAGGCTAAAGAAGTATGATTGGTACCAGATAGAAAGTTGGATTTATACAAAGTAACGATGAACTCTAGAAACAGTCAATATGTGGTTAAATATGAAGACTTTTGCTTTTCCTTTTTTTTTTAAGACTTATTTTTATTTATTTATTTACGATAGACATAGAGAGAGAGAGAGAGGCAGAGACACAGGGAGAGGGAGAAACAGGCTCCATGCAGGGAGCCTGACACGGGACTCGATCCTGGGACTCCAGGATCGCGCCCTGGGCCAAAGGCAGGCGTGAAACCACTGAGCCACCCAGGGATCCCCTGCTTTTCCTTTAAAAGGTAATAGGCTAAAACAAGAATAATAACAGTGTACTACAGGGCTTAGAACAGCAAGTGTTGTTCCTTTTTATTAACAGTTCATCCAATTTATTTCCTTCCTCTTGCATTTTACCATAATCATCGAGGTTAAACCACACCTTATACCTTTTATTTGTAAATCACCATAGTTAGGCATCCAAGTCTGTCACTTATATGTTCTACTTTCCACCCAATGGTAAAACATAATTCAACCACATTCTCCTACCTTATAACAAGTATCACCTCTTCTCCAAACAGCATGTTGCTCATTGCTCTCTGAGACCTCAAGCAGAAGCACCTTTGATGTGCATATTTATAGCAACATTCTGGACATGGCAATCTATGTGTTGTCTGAGATGACAAAGCCTTCCCTGAAGCTCTCACTTCTTGAGCTCCCATCAGAATCACCTTTAAATCCATATTATACCAACATTCCTTTCAAGGCAGTTTTGCTTTTTCTATCTAGCACCTCAAAATTATTCTAGCCTCTGTATATAATACAATCATGAAGCCCATTCTAGTTTTAGGTATTTGTTATAGAAGTGCCTCACTTTCTGGTACCAAAATGTCAACGAGTTTCCTAGGGCTGCTATAACAAAGCACCACACATTAGGTGGCTTAAAACAACATAAATGTATTCCTCATAGCTCTGGAGGCTAGAACTCTGAAACCAAGCTGTCAGCAGAGTCATGTTCCCTTTGAGACGCTGGGAAGAATCTTTCCTTGCCTCTCCTAGCTTCTGGCGGTGGCCGTTGATCCTTGGCATTTCTTGGCTTGCAGCTGCATCACTCCAACCTCTGCCTCTGTCATCACATGGCACTCCCTGAGCATCTCTGTCTTCAAACAGCATTTCCTCTTCTTACAGGTACACCAGTCATATTGGAGTAGGACCCATTCTAATGACCTCATCTTAACTCGATTGCATCTCCAAAGACCCTGTTTCCAAATGAGGTCATATTCACAGGTACTAGGGGTTAGGATTTCAACACACTTTGGGGGAGGCACAATCCAGTGTATGAAATAGACTCATTAATAGAATACATAAAGAATTCTTGAAATAAAAAGACAAATTAGTCCATTAAAAGTTGGCAAAAGATATGAATAGACATTTTCTATAGAAGATGCACAAATGCTCAATAAGCATAAGAAAAGATGCTCAATATCACTCAGGAAATGAAATTAAAACTACATTAAGATACTAATTCACACCCACTAGGATGGCTATAATAAAAAAGACAGAAACTGGAATTCTCATATACTGCTGATGGGAATGTTATATGGGGCAGCTGCCTTGGAAAACAGCCTGGCAATTTCAAAAGGTTAAACATAGAATTAACATAGGACCTAGCAATTCCACTCCCACATACATACTCAAGAGAAATGAAAACATGTCCACACAAAAAATTTGTATGTGCGTATTCATAGCAGCATTATTCATAATGGCCACAAAATGGAAACTACCAAATGTCCATCAACTGGTGAATGGACAAAATGTGGTATATCCATGCAATATTATTCAGCCATAAAAAGAAAGTATTGATTCATGCTACAATTTGCTTGAATCTTGACAAGATTATGCTAAGTGAAAGAAGCCAGATGAAGAAGACCACATACTGTATGATTCCATTTGTATGAAATGTACTGGATAGGCGAATTCTTAGAGACATAAAGTAAATTAGTAGTTGCCAAGAGGCTGGCTGGAGGCTAAGGGAATGGAGAATATAATGGGTTTGGGGTTTCTTTAGGGGAGTTGAAAATGTTCTGAAATTAGATAATGGTGATAATTGTGTGACTTTGTGAACATGCTAAAAACCACTGAACCATATACTTTTATGGTATGTAAATTATACTTCAATTCTTTCTAAAGAATAAATGTAATTACATAAGGTAAGACCTGTGTGCTGAAAACTACAAAACATTGCTGAGACAAATTAAAGACCGAAATAAACAGAAAGATGTAGACCATGTTAACACATCAGCAGATCCAATATTGTTAAAATAAAAATTCTCCCTCACTTGATCTGAAGATTCAGTGAAATCCCAATCAAAATCCTAGCAGGCATTTTTGTCAAAATTGACAGGCTGATTCTCAGTTGGTTAAGCATCTGCCTTCAGCTTAGGTCATGATCCCACGGTCCTCAGATTGAGCCCCATGTCAGGCTCCCTGCAGAGTAGGGAGTTTGCTTCTCCTTCTCCCTCTGCCCCTCCTCTCTTTTCTCTCCTTTCTTTCTCTCTCTCTCTCTTTCTCTCAATAAGTCAATAATATCTTTTTAAAAAATGTATATGAAAATGCAGAGGACCTAGAACAGTCCAGACATCTTTGAAAAAGAAAAACAAAGTTGGAAAGGTTTCCTTTCTGATTTCAAGACTGCATGGTATTATCCTATGAACAAATATGTAGATTAGTGGAACAGAATAGAGTCCAGAAATTGAGCTGCATAACTAATTTTGGATAAAGGTGCCAAAAAAATTAAATAAGGAAATAATTCTCTTTCCAATAAATTGTCCCAGAATAACTGGATATACATTTGGAAATAAATGAACCTCAAACCTTACATCCCACTATTACAAAAATTCTCTCTGATGGATCATAAACCTAAATGTAGGAGCTCAAACTATAAAACCTTTAGAAGAAGAGAGAGGACAAATATTTGTGTCCTTGATGTAGCCAAAGATTTCTCAGATGGCTTTTCTGTCCTATAATAAAACTTTGATAAATTTCTATCAAAATTTAAAAACAGCTATTCTTCATAAAACACTTTTAAAAATGAAAAGCAAGTCATAGACTGAGAAAAATATTTAAAATACATATATCTAATGAAGGCCTGATTACAACCTATATAAAGAATTTCTGCAACTTAATATTCATATAATTCAATTAATGAATAAAATATTTGAACAGAAGTCTCATAAAACAAAATATACTAACAGCCAATGGGCACATCAAAACCTACTCATTGTTATTAGGCACTCTCAAAAGTCAAATTAAAACCACAGTGAGGGGCTCCTGGGTGGCTGAGTTGGTTAAGTGCCCAACTCTTGACTTCAGCTTAGGCTATGATCTCAGGGTCATGAGATCAAGCCCCATTTTGGGCTCTGCTGAACGTGGAGCTGACTTAAGATTCTCTCTCTCTCTTTGGGCATCCGACTCTTGATTTCAGCTCAGGTCATGATCTTAGGGTCAGGAGATGGATCCCCTTGTCCAGCTCCACGTTCAGTGCAGAATCTGCTTCAGATTCTCCCTCTCGCTCCCTCCCCCTTTGCCCCCTCCCCATTTGCCCTCTTTCTCTCTCTCTCTACTCTCTCCACTCTTCTCTCCCACCTTCTCTGCTTTTCTTCCCTTCCTTCCTACAAAACTGCACTGCTTCTATGCAAGAGGGTTTTGGAAGACAAGGAATAATACTAGTTCCTTGAGTCAGAGCCAAGAAATCCTGGAGCTGCAGTTTCCATGATACCTAAGAGGTCTGTGCTATAGGGCTCAAGGAGCTACAATAAAAACAAGCTCAGCAACAAGGGATGTCACTCATCTTGGGTATGGAAGAGGAAAGCCCCCCAAAGCAGTCTAGCCCCTTGCCCTGAATGTTTGACACAGCCCTATCTAAACCACACTGGGTCCCACTTCATTCCAGCTTGCGTTTGATCTCTTTGCCCACCACTTCAGAGGCTGATCATGCTGAAAAGACGAAACATGGTGCACAGCATCTAAGCCCTTCTGGTTCTTCACCATACTTTATTTCTTTCAGTGTGACTCCAACTACCCACTACCCCACTATTGTTGATTCTATAAATCAACTTCATTTTGATGATTAAAAATGCTCAAATTGGTTGTATCTTTGTAAGATTCCCCCCCTTTTTTTTTCCTTTAAAAGAGAAAATAGTCCATTACATTCTTCATATAAATTTTCCCTGTGGGGAAGATTTTAACAGAAACACATCCTCTGCTCCCCAATTTCTTCCTCCATTCTAATTGGACAAGCAATAAAGAAAGACAGACAGCAAGAGGAGAGTAGCAAATGATCAGTACACTCTGGTGTATTTTACAAAAATGCGACTTGCTTCAAAATTCAAAATCAGAATGAATAGACTTTACAATACCTGTTCTCTCTGTTTGGGGTCCACAGTTTTCCCAGGGGAGTGGTTTCCAAGTTGCTTATTCTTTTGAGATTCATGAATCTCTCCTTTAAGTTTTTCAACCTCAAATACAAAAGCATTTTGAATATGAGAATATGGGGTTTGGGGAGGTGGTCTGCTTTGTTTTTAAAAGATACAAGGAATACTGAATACATCCCTTATGAAAACATTTCAAACTACACATAGAAATAGAGAATAAAAATTGAAAATTTCTTTCACATAACCTTACCCCACAATCCCATTTCCCTTTCCAGAAGTAACACTGTTCAGGATATACCCTTCTTGAGTTTTATCATGTATGTGTATATATGTATGTGCATGTATTAAGTATATTTTAAGTATTATTATAATAACTTATTATATAGCTTATATTACTTATAATATACTTAATATATACATATATGTATTAAATACATAAATGCACAAAGACTAAGACAACTTGAACAGTTGTTCATTCTTTTTATGATGGTGTTTTAAAAATGAAAAAAAAAAACAAATAATACAAAATCTACCATGTTGACCATTTTTAAGTGCACAGTTCAGTATTATTAAGTACCTTCTAATTATTATGCAACCATCACCACCATAAATCTCCAAAATTCTTTTCATCTTGCAAAACTGAAATTCTATGCCCATTAAAGAACTCCCTATCCTGTCCTCTCCCTGCAGTCCCAAACAACCAATCTACTTTCTGTCTGTATGATTTTGACTACTCTAAGTACCTCACATAAGGGGAATCATACACTATTTTTCCTTTTTTGACTTACATTTCAATTAACATAATGTCTTCAAATCTTATCCATGTTGTAGCATAGAATAGAATTTCCTTCCTATTGGGTTGCCTGGGTGGCTCCACAGTTGAGCATCTGCCTTTGGCTTAGGGCGTGATCCTGGAGTCCTGGGGTCAAGTCCCACATCGGGTTTCCTGCATGGAGCCTGCTTCTCCCTCTGCCTCTCTCTCTGTGTCTCTCATGAATAAATAAATAAAATATTTTTTAAAAAAGAATTTCCTTCCTATTTAAGGCTGAATAATATTCTATTGTATATTCCACATTCTATTTATCTATTTATCCATCAAGGGATACTTGAATTGCTTCAAACTTTTGGCTGTCGTGGATAACACTGCTATGAACGTGAGTGTGCAAGTATCTGTTCAAGTCCCTGCTTTCAATTCTTTGGGTATATACTCAAAAGCAGAATTGCTCAATTAAATGGTAATTCTACATTTACTTTTTAAAGAAAATGCCATGCTGGTTCCTATAGTGACTGCAGCATAATTTTTCATTCTCAACAACAACGCACATGGGTTCCAATTTCTCCATATTACCATCAACACTTGTCATTTTCTATTGTTTTGATAAGAGCCATCCTAATGGGTACTTTTTTTTTTATAAATTTATTTTTTATTGGTGTTCAATTTGCCAACATATAGAATAACACCCAGTGCTCATCCCATCAAGTGACCCCCTCAGTGCCCGTCACCCAGTCACCCCCACCTCCTGCCCACCTCCCCTTCCACCACCCCTAGTTTGTTTCCTAATGGGTACTTTTATCCATTCTTGCAACAAGTATATTGTGAGCACTTAGTATATGCCAGGTGTTGTGTGAGACACTAGAGATATAACTGTAAAATGAAAATAAACTAAAATCAGGGGCAACTGGGTGGCTCAGTTGGTTAAGCATTTGCCTTTGGGTCAGGTCATGATCCCAAGGTCCTGGGATCGAGCCCCACATGGGGCTCCCTACTGAATAGGGAGTCTGTTTCACCCTCTCCTCCCTGCTTGTGCTCTTTGTTGCTATCTCTGTCTCTCTCTCAAATAAAATCTTTTTAAAAACTCATTAAAATTTTTTTTAAAATATTTTTTTATTTATTCAGAGAGAGAAGCAGAGACACAGGCAGAGGGAGAAGCAGGCTCCATACAGGGATCCTGATGCAGGACTCGATCCTGGGACTCCAGGATCACGCCCTGGGCCAAAGGCAGGCACTAAACCTGCCTGAGCCACCCAGGCGCCCCAAAACCCACTAAAATTGAAGAGACATATATCCAGAACTTGGAAGTACACATTAAAAATCAATAAAGGATGAAAAAGAAATAATTAAAAAATGTGACACAACTCAAACTTATCCAATAAAATAGAGAAATAATTTCTATTTGGTAAATTAAGTATAAACTATTACCTAAATCCTTATTAAAAAGAAAAGATCCTAAACTGACATAATAGCATTAACACTACTGTTTAGCATGGGTAGTTAAAATGTATAAAACATAAATACTGATAGACTGCATCTAGGTCAGAGTATGGCATCTATCTGGGATATGATAGGCACCAGGACTGGTCCTCAGTAATCATATGTATACAGTGCTCTAGCTGCTGATTGTTATTTTAAACACATTTAAATAAATTCTAAGAAAAATTACATTGAACAACTTACCACTTCTCCAAGCACTTTCTTTTCTGAGTCAAGTGATCGAACCCGATTTCTTAAAGCCAGAATTTCCTCATCTAGTCTCTGATTATGTTCCTTTGCTTTCTGTAGGTCAACTGAATCTAAAACAGAACAGAACACAGTTGGTTCGACTGGATCAAAGTTTTGATTTGAGGCACTAACTTTAAAACTAAGGAAGTACTATTTCCTGGCTTCTTGTCAGTCCTACCATGTTTCTGCATATGTGGATCTCTGCACAGGAGAGCTGCTATGCTCTCAAGTCCAGCCCTAGAATATTCTAACAACCTATTGAAACAGAACAGAACTTTTTTATTTCTCACACTAGACTAATGAGCTGGATTTTTTTGAGAATAGGATTTCCAGCAACAGAGGTTATTTAGGGAATTGTACCTTTAAAGCCGTGGAGCCTACCTCCTAAAGGTTAAACAATCGAGAAAATCAACTTCCTATCTTGCTTGTGGTCCTGTCTCTCTTACACATTACATATTACTCCTAGACTCTTCTCTTCTACTTAGCAACAGTAAGGCCCCACAGATGACAAGTGATGAGCCACGAGCAGTGGACAGCCAGATTTTCCTAGCTAAATCAAGTTCATGCATCAAAATCATCTTTCTGCCTCCACCACAGCCCATAAAATGGTAGTTCCCTCTGAGTTTAGCACCTCGTGTTAAGACCTGCTCTTTCCAGCTTTCATCAGTTTCAATATTGCAAACTTGCTGCCTGAGACTTTCCTAAATTTGTAGCTATTTCTTTAAGCCACTTCCACTCATATTTCTTATTTTTCTTCTGTTGCCTTAAATTCTCTTTTGTTTTCCTTCTTCATCACTTGTTTTGTATTAATTATTCTTCATGTTCTTTCTTTATTTTTAGTTTTCCTCTTCCCATCTACTTTCCCCCTTAGTATTTTTTTTAATTTGAAAAATGCTGAAAACGTACCGAAAAGGGGAAAAAAAAATATTCACAATCTCACCCTATCTATGTGTGAGTGTGTGTGGATTTAGAGTGAGAGAGACAGACAGAGGCAAAGACAGAGACATTTGGTTTTTGACCTGTGCAATTTTTTAAAGATTTAAACAATGCTACATAATCTGCGAATTCACCACTTGTGAACATGTCATGGATGTCTTTACAGCACAATCCTTATAAAGCCATTTTCCATTTCTCATTTGGAACTATTTTTAGATTAGTTTTACTGGATTTTGCTTTTCCTACAAATGGAATCTTAATATATGTATTTTTCATGGCAGGCTTCTTTTGCTCAATATATATTTTGGCGATGCCATCTGTCATATCGATAATCTTCATCCAGTCTCTCACTTTGTTCTGTACAACGCGCCATTGTCCAAATGTGTCATCATGTGTGTCACTTTTCCCCTACTGAAGAAGATTCAGGTGCATTGCTGATGCTTTACTCTTATAAATAATTCTAAAATCATTATCCTTGTTCATCAATCTTTAGGCACTTATGAAATTATTTCCAAAAAACAAATTCCCAAAAATGGGAAAGCTGGATCAGAGGATATGTGCATTTAGAAAATTTAATAGATATTGCCAAATCACTCCTTAAAAAGATTGCACAAAGTTACATTCTGCCCATTTCTCCACACTGAATGTTACCAGAATTTTAATTTTCATAAATCTTAAAAATGCAGTTGAATAATGGCTTGTTTTAAAGGTTTATTTATTTATTTGAGGGAGAGAGAGAGAGAGAGAGAGAGAGAGAGAATGGGCCAGAGGGGAAAGGAAGAGAAACCCAAGCAGACTCCACACTAAGTACGGAGCCTGACTCAGGGCTCAGTCTTACGACACTGAGATCAGGCCTGAGCTGAACCCAAGAGTTGGACACTTAACCAACTCCACCACCCAGGCATCCCAAATAATGGCTTGTTTTTAAATGCAATATGTTTTGCTGATCACAAATGAATATAGGCTTTTTGTTTAAAAGTAAAACTGTACAGTTATCTTCAAGTGAATATTCTCATCTAACCCTTACTCAAAGGGTTAGATGACCCAAAATAATATTAATACTTAGTAAATATTCATCAAAATATTTTATATGCATATACAGACAAGGGTTGTATTAAAAGTATTTATCAACTGCTAAAGTATGGGTCCTCACCTATAAGAACGTAGCTCTGGAGTAGAGTTCTAGAGAACTGCCAAGTATTATCCCTTTAATGCCTGGGAAGACAAGGGGTTGGAAGGAGCTCAGATAGTTGAGGTAGATGGTAGACAGCTGAAAGACTCAGGGTAGCAGCTATTTACAACTTATACAAAATTATTCCAGTGTCTTCACTGTCATACATTAATGTGTACCACTTCATAGCCATCCTATGGGCATACACACACACACATCCAAAAAATAAAAACTAAAATAACATTATACTACATATATTACTCTACAGCTTGCTTTTTTTAACTTGATAATATATCATAGACATCTATTCATGTCTGTGCACATAGATCTACATCCTTCTTATTCATAGATGCACAGTCATTTAGTTAGCCAATCCACTGTGGATAAACACAACTTAATTTTGCTACCCCAAAAGTTTTCCTTATTCTCTGTACTTTTACAAGTTCTTCTATAGTCATTAGTGATAGTGTAGTATTTTTGTCTGGTTTTGATATCAGGGTAATGCTGACCACTTAAAAGCTGGAAAGTATTCTGGAAGACTTTATGTAAAATCGATATCATTTATCCTTAAAAATTTTCTCAGAAAAAATTTTTTTCTTAGACATCTGAGCCTAGAGTTTTCTTCATGGGAAGATTTTTATCTACAAATTTATTTCCTTTGGCAGATTTCTTCTTTTTTTTTTCTTTTAAGATTTAATTATTTATTTGAGAGAGAAGGAGGGCAAGAACAAGCAGGAGAAGAGGGAGAAGCAGATTCCTCACCAAGCAGAGAGCCCCACATGGGGCTCAATCCCAGGACTCTGGGATCATGACCCTAGCCAAAAATAGATGCTTAAGGACTGAGCTACCCAGGCTACCCAGGCAGCTACCCAGGCAGCCCGGCAGATTTCTTCTTGAGTGAGGATTGGTCTTTTTTTTTTTTTTTTAATTTTTATTTATTTATGATAGTCACACAGAGAGAGAGAGAGAGAGAGAGAGAGAGAGAGAGAGGCAGAGACATAGGCAGAGGGAGAAGCAGGCTCCACGCACCGGGAGCCCGACGTGGGATTCGATCCCGGGTCTCCAGGATCGCGCCCTGGGCCAAAGGCAGGCGCCAAACCGCTGCGCCACCCAGGGATCCCCGAGGATTGGTCTTTGAAGAAATGTGCTCAAGTCATATGGATCCTCAAATTTATTGGCATAAAGTTGTTCAAAATATCCTCTTATTATTTTTTGGTCTGTAGAAATGTTCTTCCTGTAATTTCTTATATTGGTGATTTGTTGTCTTCTCTTTTTTTTTTTTCATGATCAATCTAGTTAGAAATTTATCAGTGCTATTGATCCCTCCAAATAACCACATTTGGTTCCATAATTTACTCTCTTGTGGTTCTGTCTTTAATTGTATTGACTTCAAGTCTTATTTTTAATACTTTTTTCATTGGGGATCCCTGGGTGGCGCAGCGGTTTAGCGCCTGCCTTTGGCCCAGGGTGCGATCCTGGAGACCCGGGATCGAGTCCCACGTCGTGCTCCCGGTGCATGGAGCCTGCTTCTCCCTCTGCCTATGTCTCTGCCCCCGCCCCTCTCTCTCTCTCTGTGTGACTATCATAAATAAATAAAAATTAAAAAAAAAAGACTTTAAAAAAATACTTCTTTCATTGCACCTGATGTGGATTTAATTTGGTCTTCTTATTCTGGGTTTTTAAGGTGAAAGTGTAGATCACTTTGAGTCCTTTCTCGATTTCTGGTATAAGCATTAAATGATATAAATTCCCATCTAAGTACTGTTTTAGTTACTTTTACCAAATATTGATATGCTTTTTTTTTTCATTTTCATTCAAGTTAATTCATGGAAAATATTTTCTAATATTTTTTGTAATTTTGTAATTTTTTCTTTGATCACATGGCAATTTAGAAATATCTTGTTTGGTTTCCAAATATTTGGAGATTGTCTAAACATACTTCTGTTATTGATTCTTAGTTCAATTCCATTATGGTCAGAGAACACAATTTGTGTGATTGTAGTTCTTCCACAGAAAGTTGTTTGATGGCTCAGTATGGCCTTTCCTTGAGAATGTTCCATGTGTACTTGAAAAGTATGTGTAATCTGATGGACTTTTCTATAATTATTAATTTGGTCATGTTGGTTGGTACTATCCTTAAGTCTTTATCTTTACTGATTTTGTTTTCTCGTTTTTTTTTTTCAGTTACTAAGAAAGTAGTGTTCATTTTATAATTGCATTGATATATTTTTGAAAAGGAGGGTTAGCAACTCTAATCACCAATTATAATGTGTGGATTTTTTTCCCCCACACATCCAGGCAATTCTTGGACAGTAGCCAGGTATCCTATAATTCAACTCAATTCTGGCATTATCTAGCTGGAGACAACATCAGATTCTACAGGTTAAGAGCTCAGTTCCACAAGAACGCCCACCACTTCAGATACCAAAGACAAATCCATGTTGTTACCTGTGCTTCTGACTGACCGGTTATAAATCAGAGGTTGCAAATCATCTTAGTTCAAATGATTTAGTAGAGGGGCTCACAGAATTTAGGGAAACATTTTATCCACTAGATTTCTGGTTTGTTATAAAGGGATATAACTGAAGAATAGTCTAATGGAAGAGATGCATAGGGCAAGACGTGAGGAGCTTCCATATCCTCTCTGGGCACAACACTCTCCCCCAAATCACCAATTCAGAAGCTCTCCAGACCCTGTCCTTTGGTATTTTTACAAAGGCTTCATTCATAGGCATGATTGATGAGTCATTGGCCATTAGGACTGAACTCTATCGGCTGTCCCCTTCCAGCCTTGGTAACCTAGGAGCTTTCCAAAAGCCCTCCTTAAGATAATAAAAGACACTTTTTATCACTCCCATTGGAGGAAATTTCAAGGGTTTTTGAAGCTTGGTGGCAGAAAAGGGCCAAAGACCAAATATATATTTCTTATTATAAATCACAATATCACTGGGGAAACCTAGTTTTAGAATTATTTAAAACAAGTAAAGGATTTTAATTATTTTTGTAGTTGCTACCATTATAACACTCAAAGTTCATTGTATTATTTATAGCTGGTAGCATTTTTACATAGTTCAGCTAGGGTCAGATTAATTCACCAGGGATTCCAAGCCTATTGGCTTCCCAGTGAGAAAGTATGTATGAAGTATTGCTAAATTCATCATAATGTGTCTTGATCTCAGTAGTAAAATATGTGCTATTTCTGTTCACCACAGGTTTTAGAGTTAGATATATTTGGGTTCAAATACCAGCCCTATATTACTTAATTCATTAATACTCGGTGTACCTATTGGATAACTCGCTAAACCTTGCCATAACTCAGCTTCTTTGTCTAAGAAATGGGAATGATAATACTCACTATTTGGAATTGTGAGGATTAGAGTCAATGCATATAAAGTGCCTGATAGATAGAATGCCTGTTATTTAGTAAGAAATAAGTGGTAGTAGCAGTAATAGTAGTAGAAATAATAACAGTACAATAGTGCTTTATCACTATTATTAAAGACAGTATGTTAAATTGTGTATAAATCACTTGTTATTATTTAGTGTATTATTAAACATATCTACTAACATGCATCACTCACCATTTTCTTGCAGCTTCGTCAAATTTTCTTTCAATTCTTAATTTCTAGCTGAGCCTTCTCAAGTGCAGAATCTAAAGAAAAAAGAAAATCTTTCTGTAAGGAGCAAATGATTAGCATTCTCTTTCTTTGGAAAACTCACTTTCTGCTGATTGTCCTTTGACTTTCTACAAAATGTCACCTCCAGGAAACTCTTCCAGACTCCCCTTAGTGTTCTCAATGCACCCTATCATTATTCCTGATTGTGCAGTCTCGCAAGAGTTCTGTTTCCCTAACTGGAGTCCATGTTGAAGAGTTTGGATCACAATAAACAATAGGAACAACTAAACTTTTTAAGCATGATACTCTCAGCTTCAATTACAGTCAGAAATATTTAAAATTAATTTCTTCAATTAGTAATATTTAGAATTCTACCAGTAGTGGGGTGCCTGGGTGGCTCAGTCAGTTGAGCATCCAAGTCTTGATTCTGGCGTGGGTCATGATCTCAGGTTGTGAGACTGAGCCCCACGTCAGGCTCCGAGCACAGCAGGGGGTCTGCTTGAGGTTCTCTCTCCTCCTCCCTCTCTCTTTGCCCCTCCCCTGCCTGCTCTCTCTAAATAAATAAGACAAAACTTTTTTTAAAAAGAATTTTACCAGTAGTCTCTCTAAATAAATAAGACAAAACTTTTTTAAAAAAGAATTTTACCAGTAGTTGCTAGAAACATCAAGACAACAAAATTTCAGGAAATACCTTTTGATACTATTGAAGAATTATATGAAGATGGCCAAATGGTACAGGGCAAGGACATGGGGCACTGGAGTCTACTGGATTTGGGTTCTCTAATCCAGGTTTTATCACTTTGCTTCCTTGGGTCTAGTCATTACCAGTGATATGTTTGGTGGGCTTCTATGTCAGGATGAAGAACTTCTCAGAAGTAAGAGGCTAACATGACCCTTATAAGAGATCATTCCTAATCACAAAGTAAATACATCAGCACAATTATGCATATTTTATTATTACTCCCCAAATGCTCAATTCTTTGGAGTAAATCCCAGTCTGATCTACTAGATTCACCTAAAATTATATTCCTGACCATAACAATAGTTATTACCACTGCTACCAACAGCAGCAGCTACTAGTGTCAGATATATTAACATTATAACAAATCTTCAAAGCAAATACTAGTATTCCCATTTTATGGATAAGATAAAGGAGGCTCAGAAAAATTAGGCAATTTGCTCAGAGTCACATAATTGGTAAATGATAAAGTTGGGATCTGAACTCAGGTCTGTTTGAGTACGCTATGCTAGAGATGTGAGAATAGCTTCTGTTTTATTAAGACAATGGTTTTCTGGGACGCCTGGGTGGCTCAGTAGTTTAGTGTCTGCCTTTGGCTCAGGGTGTGATCCCGGGTGTCTGGGATTGAGTCCTGTATCGGGTTCCTTACAGGGAGCCTGCTTCTCCCTCTGCCCATATCTCTGCCTCTCTCTCTGTATTTCTCATGAATTAAAAAAAAAATCTTAAAAAAAAAAGACCATGGTTTTCCAATATGTTTGTCTCTGGAAGGAGAGTGAGTAAGAGAACACTGAATGTTCTGGGAACTACATGTAGTTTAATACTGCTTGGGTCTACAGTGCAAAGGATTACGGGAAATATAGGGTATGAAGCCATACAGATAGGCAAGAGCCAAACCAGAAAGGCCTTTGGGAAGCTCAGTATTTATCCTTCAGAATAAAATTCTTATGGAAGGTTAAAGTCCTGAGGAGGTAATCGAGAGGTTCTGCAAACATTTGATTTGATTTCCACTTAAAAAGCGACAGCAGGGATCCCTGGGTGGCGCAGTGGTTTGGCGCCTGCCTTTGGCCCAGGGCGCGATCCTGGAGACCCGGGATTGAATCCCACGTCGGGCGCCCAGTGCATGGAGCCTGCTTCTCCCTCTGCCTGTGTCTCTGCCTCTCTCTCTCTCTCTGTATGACTATCGTAAATAAAAAAAAAAAATTAAAAAAAAAAGCAACAGCAACCCATTTTTACATTAACACATACAGCCAAATATATCATATACAAAACTCAAATATATCAGAGACCACCAAATGCATTAACTCACGTTGCCAGGTTAGCTTCTCCTGCCATGCTCATGCAGACATGTGAAAATCATAGCTCTCCATTATTTCTCTTAAACTAGTAATATTTCTAACCCTGTGTTGGTTGTAGGTTTTGGAGACCTCTCTTATTTGACAGTTTAATTTTCTTTTTTTTTTTTTTTTTTTTAAATTTTTTATTTTATTTTATTTACGATAGTCATACAGAGAGAGAGAGGCAGAGACACAGGCAGAGGGAGAAGCAGGCTCCATGCACCGGGAGCCCGACATGGGATTCGATCCCGGGTCTCCAGGATCGCGCCCTGGGCCAAAGGCAGGCGCCAAACCGCTGCGCCACCCAGGGATCCCGACAGTTTAATTTTCTAAGTCTATTCCTTTAGTGGTTACCCTAGATAATTTTTTAGAACTTCTTTTACTATGGAATATTTCAGACATATACAAAAGTAGATACAACAGTTAAGGAAATACCTATATCTATCATCCAGCTTTTAACAATTATTAAGCCATAGTCAATCTTGTTTCATTTGCATCCTTAAATATTACATACATATACAGAGCTCTATCAGCTTTTAGAAGTAACCAACATTCTTTGCCACATGGTCTCCTCCATCTTCAAAGTCAGCAAAGGAGAATTTCCCTCATGTTGAATCCTTCTCATACTTTGAGTATTTTTCACCCAGAAAAGACTAAGCCCTTTTAAGGGCTCATCTGATCAGGTCAAGATAATCTCTTTTTCTTAAAGGCAACTGATTTGGGACCTTAACTACATCTGTAAAGGTTCTTCACAGGAGCATCTATATTGTATTTGATTGAATTAACTGGGAAAAAGAATATTTACACCAAGTGGGGCTCTTGGAGACCATCTTAGCTTTCTATCTAATATACCTAAAACCTCCAGTTCTTATATTTTTAACAGCTTTATTGAGGTATAATTTTTGAGGTACAATTTACATAAAATTCACCTATTTTAAGTGTACAATTAAGTGACTTTTAGTATATTTACATATGTGCAACCACCACCATAATCTGATTTTAGAACATTTTATCACCCCCTAAAGAAACTTCATGACCATTTAGTTGGCCCTGATCCCACTCTCAGCCCCAGGCAACCACTAATCTACTTTCTCTCTCTATAGGTTTGCCTTTTCTGGACACTTCACATAAATGGAATCATATAATATATAACCTTTTGCATCTGACTTTTTTCCTTAGTATTATGTTTTTCAGATTCATCCATGTTGTAGCAAGTATAAGTATTTTAGGTTTTTTATAGGCAAATTGTATTCATTGTATGAATATTAGGAGTCCCCTAAATCACTCCCAGGTTTGGTGACTCTTAGGACTTGCCTTACAGGACAAAAGATATACTAATATTCACAGCTAAGATTTACTACAACAAAAGGATACAAAGCAAAATCAACAAAGGTAAAAGGTAAATGGGGCAAAGTCCAGAGGAAATCAGGCTCACGTGCCCGAGTCTTCTCTTGGATGTGCTTAATTTCTCCAGCATGTGTGAAATGTTGTCTATCAGAGAAGTTCACTAGAGACTCAGTGCCCAAGGTTTTTGTTTGGGGCTGGTCACATATATACCACCTTCTACTCATCAAGTACCAAAATTCCGGTTTCTTGGAAGGAAAGGAGGTGTCCAGCACTGTGGTACTGTGATTTGTAATAAGAAATATGTATTTGGTCTTGTTTTCAATCCATTTCTGGCACAGAGATCCTAAAGCCCTTGAAATTTCTTAGGTGATGAGAGTGATAAAGGCATCTTATGTTAATGAGGTGACTCCTGGACCATGCTTAACAACAGAGGCTGGTTTCCAGAAGAACCAACCATGCGATTAAAGGGTTGGAACTTGGTGGCTCAATCAGTTAAGCATCTGCCTTTGGTTCAAGTCATGATCCCAGGGTCCTGGGATTAAGTCCCACGTTGGGCTTCTGCTCGGTGGGGAGCCTGCTTCTCCCTCTCCCTCTGCCTTTCCCCCTGCTTGTGCTTGCGCTTGCGCTTTCTCTCTCTCTCTCTCTCCTCTGTGTGTGTGTGTGTGTGTGTGTGTGTGTGTGTAAAATAAATGGATGGAATCTTTAAAAAAATAAAATAAAAATCAAACAAAGGGTTGGAACTTCCAATTATCCTCTGACCTCCAGGGACAGGAGAGGAGCTGGAGGTTGAATCAATTACCTATAGCCAATAATTTAATCAACCATGTCTATGTAATGAAGCCCCCATAAAAACCCAGGAGAGGGTTTGGAGAGCTTCTGGATTGGTGAACACATGGAGATTTGGGGAGGATGGTACACTCAGAGGGGCATCCCCTTCTATCTGGCTATTCCTGAACTGTATTCTTTTATAACAAACCAGTAACCTTGTGACAAAATGTTAGAATTTCTGAGTTCTGTTAGTCACTAGCAAATTAATTGAACCCAAGGAGGGGTAATTAGAACTTCTGATCTAAAAATAAAATAAATAAATAAATAAAAAAGAACTTCCAATCTATACCCAGTTGGCAGAACCACACAGGTGATACCCTAGGCTTACAACTGACATCTGAAGAGGTGGGGAGCAGTCTTATAAGACTGAGCCTTAATCTGCGCTCTCTTTTCAAAAAAAAAAAAAAGTGGAGGGCACCTGGGTGGCTCAGTCAGTTAAGCGTACAACTCTTGATTTTGGCTCAGCTCATGATCTTGGGGTCTTGAGATCAAGCCCTGAGTGGGGCTCCATGCTCAGCTTGGGATTCTCTCTCTCCTTTTCTCTCCTCCCCTGCCCCTTGCAGGCGCATGCTTTCTCTCTCTCTTCAAAACAAAACAAAACAAAACTGAGCCTTAATCTGTAGAATCCGACACTATATCCAGGTGAACAGTGTTAGAATTAATGGAAAATAGTGTTAGAATTAAGTTGAATTGTAGGACACCCAACTGATGTCCAAGAACTGCTTGGTCGTAATGAGAGACACCGCCCTCTTCCACATTAAAATTGGGATCCAGGAACCCTAGATAAGTAAGTGTAAGCCACACAGTTTGTACAAACATTAAGGCACAGTGAGCCACTATTACTAGTTAGGGAATGGTGAGAACCTTCCCAAAATTCAAGTTCCCAGATGTTATCCAAGGACTGACCTTCAAGCATGCCTTTCTAAGGATAGCAGCGTCAAGTTTTTTCTGTTAACTATTTCCTACACAAAGTGAATATATCACATTTTGTTTATCCATTCATCAATTGATAAACATTTGGGTCATTTCTTCCTTTTGGCTATTGTAAATAATAGTGCTTGGAACATTCGCATATAAGTCTTTGTGTGGACACATGTTTTCAGTTCTCTTGGGTAGATACGTAAGAGTTAAATTGATGGGCTTCATGATAAGTCTACATTTAAAATCCTGTGAAATTGCAAAATTATTTTCCAGTATCTGTATCATTTTACATTGCCATCAGCACTATATGAAGGTTTTAATTTCTCCACATTCTTACTAACACTTGTCATTGTCTTTTTTTATTAGCTATTTATTCTAGTGATTGTGTGTGGTATCTTATTGTGGTTTTAATTTGCACTTTCCTAATGACTAATGATGTTGAGCATCTTCTATGTGCCTACTGGCCATTCATATATCTTCTCCAGAGAAATGTCTACTCAAATATTTTTCTCATTTTAAAATCATACTTTCTTTTTATTATTGGAGTATAGGAATTCTTTACATATTCTAAATATAAGTTCTGTATCAAACATATGATTTGCAAATATTTGCTTCCAGTCTAGGAAGTTGTCTTTTCATTTTCTTGATGTTGTCTTTTGAAATACAGAAATTTCAAATTTTTATTAAGTCCAATTTATTAGTTTTTCTCTTACCACCTTTGCTTTTGGTGCTGAACTAATATATTATTGCCTAATCCAAGATCATGAAGATTTATTTACTCTGTTTTCTTCTAAGAAGTTTATAGTTTTAACTCTTATTTAGCTTTGCAGTCAATTTTTGTGTAGGTTGATGTAGGACACTTTATAAAGCAAATCCCAGAAACCATATCACTCATCATAAATATTTCACTATATATCTCTAAAAGATAAGAAATCTTTTTTTTTTTTTAGTGTTGCTCATTATTTTACTTTATAGTTAAATTACAAGATAAGAACTCTTTTTAAACATAAACTTCACATGTGGTTAGGGAAATTTAACTAAATTCCTTACATATCCAGTACATACTCACATTTCCAATTTTTTCACCAATGTTACAAATGTGTTTGAATCAAGATCCAGTAAAGGCCACATGTTATAATTGGTTATTAATTCCCTTAAATTTTAAAAAATTCATCTTTTTATTTCAATTTGTTTATTGAAGAATACTCTAAATATCTCACATTAATTCTGTTTTATTCTGAATAAATATCTTTGTTACTATCCAGAGTTTTTCATTCTCATCCAAATTTTTGGATGTGATATAGAGAGAGATAGAAAATAAACTAAAATAGAGTACTTCATTTAAAAGAGTCATTTTGGCGGTACCTGGGTGGCTCAGTCAGTTGTAGAGAGAGCTAGAAAATAAACTAATATAGAGTACTTCATTCAAAAGAGTCAGTTTGGCGGTACCTGGGTGGCTCAGTCGGTTGTGAAGCTGCCTTTGGCTCAGGTCATGATCTTGGGGTCCTAGGATTGAGCCCCATGTCAGATTCCCTGCTCAGTGGGGAGTTTGCTTCTCCCTTTCCCTTGGCCTCTCCTCTCCCTCATGCTCTCTCTCTTTCAAATAAATAAATAAAATCTTTATAAATAAATAAATAAATAAATAAATAAATAAATAAATAAATAAATAAATTTGTTGTAAGTAGACTAATACTTGGTAAACATTGTCATGTAACACAGTTACCTAGAAATACATTGACTTATAACCTGATAAGTCAAGAATTTATACATAGGGCACACACTGGTACTAATATTTTATTTTGTTTTATTTTATTTTTATTCTTTTTGATAGTACATATATTTTTAAAGGACTTGCTAATTTAACTTCCCAACAGTGCCCCAGTATACTGACTCTAGAGAGACAGCTTTCAGTTAATAGTTTAGGATCTATGAGACCAGCCAACTGGTTATAGAACAGGGTGCCATGTGATGGTATTCTGTTGTGTCCAAATGTAACTAAGAGGAATGAGTGTCCTGCTTTTCCTTTCTCCTTCCATATTACAAGTAGCAAAGACTGCTTCTCATCATATTCACAAAGCCAAATTTCTTTCCCTTTTTAAAAAGTTGGGTGTATAGCTTGCATACAGTAAAAATTCATCCTTTTAGGTGGGCAGTGAATTTTGACAAATATATATAGTGGTATAATCACAAACCCTATTATAGAACAATTCCATATTACAAAAATTCCTTTGTGTACACTGTTTAAAACACATTCCTAACAAAATCCCAACCTCTCTGATATTCTTCATTTTTAAATCCATAATCAAGTTGGCAGAATCATTATTGTTTTAACATTTAACACTTTAAAGATACAATCCTGGGATCCCTGGGTGGCGCAGCGGTTTGGCGCCTGCCTTTGGCTCAGGGCACGATCCTGGAGACCCGGGATCGAATCCCATATCGGGCTCCTGGTGCATGGAGCCTGCTTCTCCCTCTGCCTATGTCTCTGCCTCTCTCTCTCTCTCTCTCTGTGACTATCATAAATAAATAAATTAAAAAAAAGATACAATCCTAAAGTAACTTATATACTGCATTTGAAAATTGGCCTAATTTCTTAGTCATTGTAAATTATAAATATAAAAGGGGGATAAAAGTTTAAACTTTATGCTAAAATAAATTATTGATAAAGTGAAGACTGAAATATAAACAATGAAACCATGAAAGCGCAATAAAACACTAAAGGGATGAATACTTTCAAAAACCTTGTAATGATATAGAAAAGGCTTTTACACATGAAAACCCAGAAGCCATACAGAATAATAACTCTGCTAAACCCAACTTGAAAAATATTAACATTTCTATATGGCAAAAAAACTCCAATGTAACATTTATAACCAACAAAAGGCTCATATCCAGAATATATAAAAGAATTTTTTTTTAATTTCTTTTGTTCTTTTGTTACTAAGTAGTCTCTACGTCCATTGTGGAGCTTGAACTCACGATCCCAAGATCAAAAGTCACATGCTCTATGGATTGAACCAGCCAGCTGCCCCAGGAATATATAAAGAATTTTTACAAATTAATAAAAAATACAACCCAATGGAAAAATATATACAAGACTTAAGCAGGTACTTCACAAAAGAATATATCTAGATGAGCAACAACAACAGTAACAACAAATTATGACAGGGTTTTCAACTTCATCAGCCATCAGAGAAATGCAAATTAAAGCCATAATTACATACCACTACACATTTATCGGAAAAGTCAAAGTTAGTAAGACTGACAATACCAAATACTGACAAGGAATGTAGAGTAACCAAAGTCTCCTATACAGCTGAGAAGAGTTTAAATTAATACAACTCTTTGGAAGACAGTATAACAGTTATCTACCGAAGTAGGTTGTACACATAACCGTTCAATCCAATAATTAGTATATCACAATCAGAAATGTGTTGGTAAGTCCAAGAACATCCATAGCACTATTCATAACAGAGCACAGCTGGAAGCAACATAAATGCTCACCAACAGTAGAATGGCTAGATAAAGTAAACTATATGTTTATTCAGTGGAATATTATACAACCAGCATAAGTGAACAAAGTGCTGCTACATGCAACAACAGTGAATCTCATGGACATAAGACTGAACAAGAGAAACAAACTAAATTTAAAAATGCATATTACCTGCAGTCAAAACTCAGAAACAGTATTAAAAGTCAGGATAGTGGTTACTTTCGGATGGGAGAGAGGGTGTAGACCTAGAAAGAAGAAACAAAGGGGACTCTGGGATGCTGGGAGCTTCTTGGACCACATGGTGCACACTTAGGAGTTGTGAATATTTTGGTAGGTATGTTATGCTTACGCTTCAGTAAAAATTTGTAGACAGTGTACAAAAAGAAGCCGTTTATCAAACTTCTATGTGTTTGTCTTAGAAGATTTTTTTTTCCAATGCACTCATGTTCCACCCTGAGAAAATATCAATTACATTGAAAACATCATCAGAAATGTTCATCTGCAACCACAGCTTACCTAATTTACTCTGTTCTTTCTCCTTCCTTTTTAGTTCATCAGTGAGCCTTCGGATCTCTTCCTGGGCCATCCCTAACCTCTCTGCTACTTGTTTTGCATTCCTCTCCAGGCAGTTTTGTGAAATTTTAGCTTTTTCCAGGTCTTCACTATGGGACTGAAATAAAACTATAGTTAGTTTTAAACTAACAAAAACTAAAATAAAATAATTTTTTAAAACAAAAATTAAATGTATTCTTATAATACTGTACTATTTCCTACAAGCATTTGAAAGCTAATAAAGAAAAGCAGCAAACAATATTTCATTTATATGTATTTCTTTTAAGTTGAAATATAAAATTATTGATACCTGATTTTTTACCTATGAACATACAACTTCATATAGTTCAACTTAATATCTAAGAGTTTATGATTAAAAAAAATAAGAGTTTAAAAAAAAAATTAAAAAGGGATCCCTGGGTGGCGCAGCGGTTTGGCGCCTGCCTTTGGCCCAGGGCGTGATCCTGGAGACCCGGGATCGAATCCCACGTCGGGCTCCCGGTGCATGGAGCCTGCTTCTCCATTTGCCTGTGTCTCTGCCTCTCTCTCCTTCTCTCTCTGTGACTGTCATAAATTTAAAAAAAAAAAATTAAAAAAAATAAGAGTTTATGATTATATGATTATAAAAAATAGAAATTTTATCATAAAAATGAGTATCATCTGGCAAAAAAGAGAGAAAAAAATCCTTATGTATATGGTCCATTAAATACAGTTTATAAAATGCTTTCACATTTAATTTCAAGATATGAACACACTCAAATGTTTATAACTCCTTTTCTGCAATTATTTTCAAAGTATTTTATTTTATTTTTATTTTTTTAAAATTTTTATTTATTTATGATAGTCACACAGAGAGAGAAAGAGAGGCAGAGACACAGGCAGAGGGAGAAGCAGGCTCCATGCACCGGGAGCCCGATGTGGGATTCGATCCCGGGTCTCCAGGATCGTGCCCTAGGCCAAAGGCAGGCGCTAAACCGCTGCGCCACCCAGGGATCCCTTCAAAGTATTTTAAAAGCTAAGAAATTCAGTTTCAATTATACCTTGCTTTTGATCCCTAAAATATGTATTATTTATATAATCATCATACAACTATTTCTGAAAGACAACCAAAATACCATCTGCATAACAAAATCACTTCTAGGATATTGGTATATATCCTTGCAGTATTTTTTATTTATATACATTTTTTATGTAGTCATAATCCCAATCTACATACATGTTTGTCTTTTTCATTTAACATTATATGAGGAACATTTCCCAAATAACTGTACAGATTTTGTAATGATAATTTTTAAAAGCTATATAATGTTCCAAAGTAGGAGTAATATGATTTATATAATTATTTAAATATTTGGTAGTTTCCAATTTTTGCTATTTAAAATAATACTATGATATACAGTTTTATCCATATACATTTATCTTGGGTTATTTCCTGCAGTTAAATTTCTAGCACATAGCTTATTTACTGGATTTAGCACTTAATAACATTTTCTCAGATTAGAAAGTTTAATTATATGAGGAGAATTGATTATACTTAAAATAATGTGCTGTATATATCAAAAGACTACCCCCAAAAAAGGGCTCCAAACATATTTGGGAAGAAGTATGTATTATCCCAAAGTGATTTTTCAAAGGATATAACACATATTGATTGTTTAAATTTTGATACATTCAATAAAAATTAGCTATTAATTTTTTTCTTCCCAAATCTTCGTGATATGTTTACAATACTTTTACGTATAATTTTATAATTTTCACAGCATATATTTTAATATATTCAAACAAAATACTTGGTAAAAACTAATGTGTAATTAGCTGTGATTATTAAGTGAAGGATTCTTTTTTTTTTTTTTTTTTTTTTTTACCTCACTCAAAATTTTTTCAGATTGCTGCACAGGTTCCTGATATTTCTCATGTTTTCTTTGCAGAGGCTGGTAGATTTGTTCAAATGTCTCCTAAATAAATAATAAGAGATAAATGAAACTTGCATCAGTCTTTGTAAAAAAAATGTCATTTAAATTTTTTTAAAAAAGAAAAAAAAGGGACACAGTCCAATCCATTTTATGAGGCTAGGCTATCCATTCTCAATGAGACAATATCATCCCCAAAGGAGTGAAAATTGGTTTCTACAGGAGCAAAAAAAATCTTACTCTTCTTATGTACAAAGCATGATATGCCTACAGTATCTAGAACTCTACAGTAGTAGTAAATCTAAAAAATCTCATTACAGAGGCAATAATGAAAAATGACTGGTTAACACTGGCTAGCCAAACCTTGAGATTAAAACCCAACAAAGATAACAGGAGAAAGAAAAATCACAGGGCAATCTTCTTATTCATAAACATAGATTAAAACTTTATCAAATCTAACCTGATAATATCTAGGAAGGATAAAATATCATTAACAAGTTGGATTTATCCTAGGAATGCAAAATAGGTTTAGCATTAGAAAAATAAATCAACAAAATTTTCCCATTAACAGATTCAAGTTTTAAATTATTTCATCATCAATGACTATAAAAAACTCTTAGCAAACTAGAAACAAGAGTATAAATGATACATAAACAGTACCATTTGAAACAAAACCTTTAGCAAACATCATACTTAATAATGAATCACTGAATGCTTTCTCTGATATTAATAACAAGATGAAAATACTATTTAATACTACTAATAACATTAATTTCAAGGTAATACTAGAGGGCCTACCCAGTAAAAGGCAAGAAAAAGAAATGAGAGGTGCCTGGGTGGCTCAATCGCCTTCAGCTTGGGTCATGATCCCAGGATCCTGGGTCAAGCCCTGCATGGGGCTCCCCGCTCAGTGGAGAGCCTGCTTCTCCATCTCCCTCTGCCCACTACTCTCCTGCTTGTGCTCTCTTTCTCTCTCTCTCTCTGTCAAATAAATAAAGTCTTTAAAAGAGAGAGAGAAAAAAAAATAAAAAAATAAGAGAGAGAGAAAGAATGGAAAGAATAAGGACTGAAACAGAAGAAATGAAAGTATCATTATTCTCAGATAATATGATTGTACAGGTAGAACATATTTTAAATCTTCTAATAAATTATTAAAATGAATAAGAGGGGCACCTAGCTGGCTCAGTTGGTAGAGTACATGACTCTTGATCTGGGGTTGTAAGTTGAAGCCCCACACTGGGTGTGAAGCCTACTTAAATAAATAAATAAAAATAAAGAGGAAAAAGTGGTTTATAAATAAGTAAAAGGAATAAAAAACTTTAGCAACAATGTTAGATATAAGTCAGTATAAAATAATTGCATTTTTAAATACCAGCCACAGATAGTTAGAATATTAAATTCTTTTTAAGAAGATAACATTTGCTATTAATAGCATCCAAAAATGTGAAGTAATATGAAGTACCTAAGAAAAAATGTAACAAGAGTACAAGAGTTTGTGGGGAAAATCATAAAACTTTACTTATATACATTAAAAAATAAATGGATATTCTATGATCACAGATCACATCAATATTGTAAGATAGTAAATTCCTCTTAAGCTGATTCAATACAATCAAAAATCAAAATCCTAGATTTTGTAATAACATGAATCAGATTGTTACTCTTTCCTCTTAAAAGTATTTAGTGCCTCTCCAGACCTTCTATAACAAAGTCCATTAAATGTTTTTATGCCTTGGTGCACCTGGCTGCCTCAATATGCATAGCCTGCAACTCTTGATCTTGGGGTTGTGGGTTCAAGCAACCTGTTGGGTTTAGAGATTACTGAAAAATAAAATCTTTTTTAAAAAATATTTATTTTTTTTATTTTTATTTATGATAGACACAGAGAGAGAGAGAGGCAGAGACACAGGAGGAGGGAGAAGCAGGCTCCATGCCGGGAGCCCGACATGGGACTCGATCCTGGGACTCCAGGATCGTGCCCTGGGCCAAAGGCAGGCGCCAAACCGCTGAGCCACCCAGGGATCCCTGAAAAATAAAATCTTTTAAAAAAATGTTTTTATGCCTCTAGTATGGTTCAGGAACACTGCTGGGTGCTGAGTCCTAATTTGAGATTAGTGTATGAATCTCACCATGATGTAGTTCCTGAACACATCTCCAGCCACATTACTTAGCATTCACTTCCGTGAACCACCATGTAATAACACATTGTTTCCTCTGCTAGGAATGCCTTTCCCAGCATCTTTACGTAGCTGATACATATTGAGCTTTCAAAATACTACTCAGCATCTCCTCTGGAAGATGAGAGATGGAAGATGTTTTTCGGTCACCTATCACATCTGACTCAGCCCCTCCTCTCAGTTTCCCCAGCCTTCTGTGCCTTCCTTTATCATGGGACTTTATACACTGAACTATAATCACTGGCTTTTTTCTTCCATCCATTAGCTTGTAAGTTCCTTGCAAGCCCAAATCATGTCTAACTTGACTTTGTTTCTACATCCACTGGGACAGAGCCTGGCAGATGGAAAGTTCTCGATAAACAATTAACAATAATGCTAATTAATATTCTGATTTCTCTTCAGATGGCATAAATCTTTCACTTTTTATTATATATTTCTGTGGAGGAAAAAAAAACCCAAAATAATGCTAATTAATATGTGAGGTACTATTCTAGAGTCTTATACATGTTATTTCATTTTCATGATAACCTCGTGGAGTAGTTAAGTTGATCTCAGATTTTATAGATGAGAAAATCAAGACTCACAAAAGTTCACTAACTTGCTCAAGGTCATACCACAAACAAGTGGCAGAGATGTTCCTCCAAACATAAAAGCTATATATTTGGAGTGCCTGAGTGGCAAAGTTGGTTGAGTGGTCAGCTCTTGGTTTTGGTTCAGGTCAGGATCTTAGAGTCCTTGGATGGAGCCCCACATCTTGCTCCCCACTGAGTAGGGAAGTTTGCTTCAGATTGTCTTCCTCACCCAGTCACCCCCACCCCCACCCCGCCCACCTCCCCTTCCACCACCCTTAGTTCGTTTCCCAGAGTTAGGAGTCTCTCATGTTCTGTCTCCCTTTCTGATATTTCCCACTCATTTTTTCTCCTTTCCCCTTTATTCCCTTTCACTATTTTTTATATTCCCCAAATGAATGAGACCATAAAATGTTTGTCCTTCTCCAATTGACTTATTTCACTTAGCATAATACCCGCCAGTTCCATCCACTTCGAAGCAAATGATGGGTATTTGTTGTTTTTAATGGCTGAGGAATATTCCATTGTATACATAAACCACATCTTCTTTATCCATTCATCTTTCGATGGACACCGGGGCTCCTTCCACAGTTTGGCTATTGTGAACATTGCTGCTATAAACATTGGGGTGCAGGGGTCCCAGCGTTTCATTGCGTCTGTATCTTTGGGGTAAATCCCCAGCAGTGCAATTGCTGGGTCGTAGGGCAGGTCTATTTTTAACTCTTTGAGGAACCTCCACACTTGATGGGATGAGCTCTGGGTGTTATTGTATATGCTGGCAAATTGAACACCAATAAAAAATAAATTTATATAAAAAATGATAATAAAAAATAAAATTACAACACAAACCTTGGGGGAAAAAAGATTATCTTCCTCCTTCTCCCTCTGCAGCTCCCCCAACTGGCTTACGCGCGCACTGTCTCTCTCAAACAAATAAGTCAATCGTTAAAAAAAAAAAAACACCACAAACAAAAAACCCACCCTATATATGTAAGCATTATTAAAACTGACTTCCTGATCATTTAATCAATGAATTATTAAAGAAAGAAACAAAAAACTGGCCTGCCTCTTATTCAACTACCTAGTTAATTTCAGAATACCTGGGCAAGTCTTTCCTGTAGGTGACTGGCCATATGTCTTTGGGACTCTGGCTTGGGGCCCCCAGTTTCCAGTTTTCTCGAGAATGTGCTTCTTTCTACCAGTAAGTACTCAATCTGCTCCCTGGGGCTGCCCAGAGCTATTTCAGACAAACCCTCTTGAGACAACACTTCTTCAATCTCTTTTATTTGCACTTCTGTTAAGAAGAAATAACAGAAACAAAACTGTTAAAAGGAATGCAGGCAAAAAAACTGCTGTTATAAGGTGTTAAGTGTGCTCTTAGTTAAATAGCAAGTTAATTTTTTTTTAATTAGCTATACTGCTACTACCACTCTTCTCCCCATCTCTTCAGAGTGTTTGCAAACTTTCAGAAATAATAACAACAACAAAAAAAGTAGTGGGAAAAGGTTCTCAAAAGTGGTATTCTTTTTTTTTAATTTTTTTTATTTATTTACGATAGTCATACAGAGAGAGAGAGAGGGGGGCAGAGGGAGAAGCAGGCTCCATGCACCGGGAGCCTGACGTGGGATTCGATCCCGGGTCTCCAGGATCATGCCCTGGGCCAAAGGCAGGCGCCAAACCGCTGCGCCACCCAGGGATCCCAAGTGGTAGATATTCTTACTGTTGTGTAACTTTAAAATTTGTTGTTTTATTGAGTGCTTACTATGTGGCAGCATAAATTTAAGGTAAATTTATGTAATCTAATCCCTGCAACAATCCATTTAGGTAGGGAACGTGATTATTCCATTTATGAGACAAGGATGCAGGCACCAATAAGCCAACTAGTTTGTATAAGGTTACTTAACTAGTCCCTGCCAAAATTCTTGGTGATTTCAATATTCAGGTAGATTATTCTAGTGCTTTGGCTTCTCAGTCTCTTCACCAACTAACTTCAGATTGAGCCTGCTGCCTCATCTCAGCTTCTACTCCACAGATATTCTCTAGACCTTGTTGTTAGCAGCAACTCCCTAGTCTCAATTTCAAGCATCCCATTCTCCAATCATCCTTTCCTATGTACTTCTGGTAGCTAGATGTCAACAAGTTTTTGACCATAATGGCAACTATAATCCACTAGCTTTAAACACTTCTTAACGTTCCTCATCCCACTCCTGTCCTCATTTACTTTCTTACCAACCTAGGTTCATCTAATCAGTTCATCATTATAATCACTCCCTTGATTTTTTGTTTAGATTTACTTATTTATTCATGAGAGACACACAGAGAGAGGCAGAGACACAGGCAGAGGGAGAAGCAGGCTCCATGCAGGAAGCCTGATGCGGGACTCAATCCTGGGACTCCAGGATCACAATCTGAGCCAAAGGCAGTCATTTAACCACTGAGCCACCCAGGTGTCCCTAATCACCCCCTTGAAAATACTCACAACTTCTTGCTCCTCTTTCTCCATTACACTTAGTTGACAGAACTCCAGCCTATTAAATCTAACCCTTTACCTCTCCTGCACCTCACTCTAGAAGCTGAGTGTAGCTGGAGAAAAACCACACAGCCAGTGGCAATTGGTTTCACTCTAAATTCATGTCTACTCACTACTCACCTCAAGTGGATCCTTGTTGTCCACCAATCCTCCCATAGTTCCCTGGAATTCTCTCTCTCATTATCTAGAGATGTAGACCATTATTTCATTACTCTTTCTCCTCAAGTCTCCAACACCTCCTTACCCATCCTCACTCTCAGCTGAATACCCTGCTTCCTATTTCCCTGAGAAAAAAGCAGCACTCCAATTTCCACAAACTCTTCTTATCGTATCTGCCAATTCCCACATACTCTTCCATCTTGTGAGATTTAACAAACTACCCTTGATCCTAAGGCCAGACTCTCCCCTTGTGCACTGGATCCTATTCCCACTTATCTCAAAGATAACAGGCTTTCATCATTTCTCCCTGCGACATCATACTCTGTTGGTTTTCTTACTACCATGCGTGCCACTCCTTCTCAGACTCCTTGACTAATTTCTCCCCTTTCCAACCTCTAAACATAGAAATTCCAAGGGCCCAGCCCTTAATCTTCTTTTCATTCCCCAGATAACCGTCTATAGTCCCAAGGCTTTAGGTGTTGGCTATTTGCTGATGACTCCCAAATTCACAGCTCTAGCTTGCGGTGCCTTCCAAACATACACAATTGTCTACTTGACATTTCCACTTGGATATCTAATACATGCATCGAAATGTACATGTCCAAAGGCAAACTCTTTACTGTCTTCCCCAAATGGAACCTCCCATAGGCTCCCCAACCTAAGAAGCTGGACCTCTAATATCCAACCACTCAGCCATAAGGCTTTGGGTCACCAGTGATTTCTCCCCTTTTCTCCCACCTAACATTATATCCATTATCAAATCATATTACCCCTACCTTCAAAAAATACCCTAACTATAGAAGCATTTCTGCAGTGATTTTTATGTTTTTAAAACAAACTTGTATTTTGCAAACTGCTTGCTAAAAATAATAAAGTTTATTGAAGCAACAGATTGGTACAGACAATTCCAAACTTCTATCATTGTGTAACTGGAGTGCTATAAAAAACACTGACAATCCTAATAATTATACTGGTACATTTAAAGAGATACATCAAATTCCTAAAAAAACAAAGAAATACTATAGTAAATATAGGACTTTTATCTTCTTTTAAAAAATCAGGCTTGCTGTAAAGGTGAGCTAAAAGAGTTGAGTCTGTGGAGTTATGAAAACAAAGGCAAAATGCTCAAAGATTAGGGATATCTTGGCATAAGCACTTCCAAGGAGAAACATGTGGCCCAACTGAATTCCAAAGGAGACTCTGGGACAAATTAGCTTCATGTATAAACTCCAATGCTTGCTGGTAAGCCCAAATCATTAACATGCTGGGGTACACTGTATATGAACTTCTGCGTTAAAATGACATCATTCCCTTATTTACCAATATTTCATGAGCTAATTTATGTTGGCAGCAGGACATAACAGTATCTTCCATTTCTCACAGAATAGCAGATTAGAGCCCTGAACCAACCTCTTGCTGAGAATAACTAAAAATGCCAGAAGAAATTGAAAAACTCTTAAAAATGCAACTACTGGGGCAGCTGGGTGGCTCAGGGGTGAGCATCTGCCTTGGGCTCAGATTGTGATCCTGGGGTCCTAGGATGGAGTCCTGCTTGTGCTCCCCATGGGGAGCCTGCTTTTCCCTCTGCCTATGTCTCTGCCTTTCTATGTCTCCCATTAGTAAATAAAATCTTTTTAAAAAATGCAACTACCATACAAACAAAAATAGAATGCAAACTTTTAAAGCAGCAGAAGAAAATTCAGTATACTCAATGGAAAACAAGAAAGGAAAATAAATGAAGCAAGAGTGCCGAACAGATGAAATATGTTCTATACTTCACTCAACCCCTCCATATGAGATTCAAAATAAAGAGAAAACTTCCATCAGCAGACCCTCATGACAGTTTTAAAATGATTCCAAATGGAATATATGGAATATCTGAGATGCAAGGGAAAATGCTGAGCAAAGAAAACAATAAATGTGTGGTAAATATAAATAATCACCAACACTAGTAATAATCATATATAATTTGTGAGGTTAAAAAAAACCCAAAATATTCTAAAGGGGTTCTATCCAGGTCTTCTCTTGTAGCTCTGTAGTACTTAAATAAATATTTCCTATTATTTATTATTATTATTATTTTATTATTATTTATTACATTTATTACTTTATTTTTATTATTATTAAGGGACGAACATTGCTTAATGTGCTAGTTCTTTACAAGGCAGGTGCTGTGGGAACACAGAAACCACTACGATCAGGGCATGATCTCTGGCCCAGAGGAGCTGACACAGGTCACTATGACATAGTGTAGTAAGTAGCAGAATAGACACTGAAGGAAATAACCATCCTGTACTCTCTCACACACATTCCTGACTATTTCAGAATCGATAATTTAAAACACCAAGCAGAAAATACACTCAAAACATTATAAGTACTTTTCTTGGAGTGGAGGATTATATAGTAATTTTCCCCCTTCCTTCTACTTTTATGCATTTCCCAAATTTGTCACATATTATTTTTAGAAGTAGAAAAAAAATAAACTTCACATTTTTACAAAAGGAAAGATTACCCTGTTTGGGTTGGAGTTCTTTAACCACATGTCTAAGCTGTTTGTTTTCCTTTTCACAATTGTGAGAAAATACTTCTCTTTCCTCTATTAAGTTACGGACTTGCATACTTTTTAACCTAAAAAGAAAATAACACATTTTCTTACTCTTAGTCCATATAGTAACCTACATCGAATCTATAAAGTGAAAGAGTCATTAAGAGATCACCGTACTATCATGTCCCTAATCTAAGAAATAAAAAGAAAACTTGGCTTTCCTTACATGTGAGTTTCCCTCCCTAAACTTCCTTCCAGCTGTTTTATGTTAACAGACCGTTTCCCACAGACATGATGACACACCATCACAAATTTCACAGACACTCACAATCTCTAATTTTTTCCCCATTAACATATCAGGTTTGAAATCAAGTCTCCTTATCTATAGTTTAGGAAATAAAAAATGATACCCACGAACAGAGAAAAATCCCCACAATAACTGTTTATATTCCTATGTTAACAAAGATGGTGATGCCTGAAATCTTAACATAAGATTTAAGTAAAATCAATTGTTGAGGGCAGCCCAGCTGGCTCAGTGGTCTAGCGCTGCCTGCAGCCCAGATTGTGATACTGGAGACCTGGGATCGAGTCCCACATCGGGCTCCCTGCATGGAGCCTGCTTCTCCCTCTGCCGGTGTCTCTGCCTCTCTGTGTGTCTTTCATGAAAAAATAAAATCTTCAAAAAAAATTTTTTTTGAAAAAAAAAAAATCAATTGTTGAGTATTTTTTAAAAATAGCTTCTGGTTAATATGGCAGCTTCCTAAAAGGTACTTTTATGAGTTCATAATAATAGATTAAAAGCTGACTCGATGCTCCAGACACTAGAGTAAGGAGATCAAAGCCTTCATTTTCACTACAATCTTATGAGACTATTACCCTCTCACTTTCTAGGGGAGGAAGCAGGCTGCTGGAGGCCTAGGGGATTTGCCTCGTCATGCAGGAAGTAAGGGGAGGGGCTAGACTTCACACTGCCCGGCCAGACCCAGAGGCTGAGCTCTAGCCTACGTGCCAAAGTGCTTAGAAGTAGACTGCCAAAGTAACTGAATTGCATTTTGCTGAA